TATGCCTTTTGTTCTGTAGTATCTCTTTGGATGCGCTCATTTAAGGCATCGAAATCTTTTGCTATGATATGCAGAAGCCAATATAAACCCTTTTTAATTGATTTATCAATTTTTTTTCCCATAGCCCATGACAGCTGAGCAAGGTTCCTGTAAATATAAGAAGGAAATTAATTAATTAATTTAATTATTTGCAGTTCAGATTACTTCACCAAATACATGGCCCAGCCAAACCAATACTGTTGATCTTAAGCTTGCAAAACATTAAATGCAGATTTATTTCTCATACTTCTTAGTTATTGTGTAAATGTAGATGTGTTTTTTTTGCTAAGATACAAATCACATCAGGTCTACCAAATTCCTGTATTTCCTGTCCCACTTTGGCAATACTACCTGCTGCACAGAAAAATGTTTACATGTCAATATCCAAATAAACATACATATACACCAGTTATATAATATCCATTATTCATTTACACATCTATTTATATTCCTATTTCAACAGACAATCTATGCATCTTCATAGGAATATAAGCATTTTATCAAACTCAAATATGTATTTTCTATCTTGCTGGTGCATTATAATAGCCTAAATTATATTTATCTAGTAAAATAGGGAAAAAAAAGATCCAAGGAAATCAGTTTAGCTTCAGTTCATGAAATAAATGTTCAAGTTATTCACAAGCATTTAGGAGATTAATAAAATTGTATCTGAATTTGTCAGAAAAACTCAAACCTCTTCAATTTCTCAGATTCAGGAGAGGAGTGAAGTAAAACATCCATTTTGACTGAAATAAAACTTTTGTTATGATATTCTCATAAACAAAGAGACACAAGTAGGCAAATCTATTGGAAAAACAGGTGCTAAATTTTGCTAAACTATTTTAGAATACTTGATACAACGCTTGAGGTAAGAGTGGTTGACTATAAGGAAATAAGAGGAACAGAAAAATAATTTTAAAAATATTGATTTTAAGTACATCTAGTAGGAACATGTTGAAAGGACAGGAGTGAGCTTCTCCTTGAAGTGAAAAAGCATCCAGGAGTTATGATAATAGTCCTCAAAGGAAAAGAAAATTCCAAATAGGAAAAAAATAATTTTTTGTTTTTGTATTGTTCAATAGTTTCTATATAATCTGTAATATTCTTAAAACATTTATGTGGCAATTACAAAAAGATTATACACTTAAAACTCACAAATACTTGAATTAAAAGATTTGTTGATTAAAAAATGACCATGACTACTACATCTAAAATGTAATTATTTTAGGACAGATATTAACTAGATCTTACTGTGTCTACGGGGCTGGGAATTAGAATACTTAATTTACTTTACTCTTACTGTTTCACAGATGATAACTCAGACTACTATGGACAGAAAGGAGACAAACACAGAAAGGAGACAAACATTACAACTGAACAGTGGTCCTTCCTGAATGTCAACATAAGCAAATTTCACTTTCTACTTCTTCAAGAAGGTGGAATACTAAACTTGCCATATACCCACATTACTAATTCATTATTTTTATATGGTTTCAAGCTGGAGTGGTAAGTGACAACCTTTGTAGCAATGTCTTCAACAAATTCAGAAGCCAAGTGTCAAGATGAACAGTAGATTGCTTGAAAAAAATAAAAAAATTAAAAAAAAAAATACAGATGTACATACCATATCTTTGCTGGGATTGCAGGCATCTTGTTTCATTTTTATGCTATATGGCATAATCCCCTATCTCCTTGCAAGCATTACGTAGGCTGCAGAGCTCAGTACAAGCATGACACTAATGCCCTATAACTTGCAGTACCCACTGATTTTTAACCTCTTATATCTTGAATGAATTACACTCTAGCAGAATTTAAACAAGGAGAAGACGTATGGCAGAAATACTTTGTTTCTGTGAGGATTAAGCTTGCTTCTCTGAGAAAAACTAAGATAATAGACAGAACTGGTGTAAATTTCTTCAGGGTTTGCATAAACGTTATTCTTGTTGCTGGGATTGCAGGCTTCTCATTTCAATGTTATGCTAAATGTCATAATTCCCTACTCCTTACAAGCACGTATGCATAAGAAAATGAAGCATCTTAAAATATACTTACAATCTGACACAGACATTTGTGTTCATTGACAAGCTTTTCCAGAGATAAGGTCTCAATTACATCTGCTTCTGACAGAGCTCCTTCTCTGTCCTGCTTATTTGCCAGCCTGAAGAAAAGATCAAAAGAAAACACTCAGCATCCAGAAATATGGAAAAAAATTAATCTTAAAAACTACATTCCAGACAAAAGTAGGAAAACGTAGGAGAAAGTAAAGAGGAAATGCATTACTCCAGCTTTAATTCTTAGTTCTTTCTACCATACACCATTTTCATCAGAGATACTGATACTAATGACTACACATCCACAGACAAAGCAATCATATTTTACAGCTGAGAAGACATCAACTGTACTGCTCACCTACGGCAACCCAGTATAACCTGCTGGGGTCTGTGGATCAAAGTTCAGAACTTTGCAACTTCCCAATCCACATGCACTTTCCACGTGCACATAATACTGCTTCACAATCACCTCAGGTCTGCCTGAGGTGGACAGAAAAAAAATTGTGGCAAGCACAATTTTTCTCAGCTGCCAAACAGTTTGTTATGTAGTATCTTGAACCTGTTCTTCATAAGTAAAACTCAGAATTTGCATGAATAGCTCTAAAAAACATATTTTATTATTAAAGCAAGAGAAGAAAAAGGAAGGTATACAAAATGCATAACTTACAAAATAAGTATTCTGTAAAATGAAGTGCCTTTATTGTCTTATCTTTTATTCATTTCTATGAATGTCAGTGGGTACTATTTTTTCTGCATGGAAAAAGACACATCTTTGCTTCATCTGCATTTCCATGTCAGACTCCATTCTGTCACTCTGCCCCTCTGCTGCTATCCGTCACATGGCAACAAAATATAACAGAATTCTGGTGGAAAGGTTCAACCTCTACTGCTATACCAACATCCACTCTGACATTATGAGTGAACATAATAAAACAGGAGGCATTACCTTTGGAGCAGCCCTCAGATCATTTTGGAATATAACATGCAATCAGATTTTGATTTCTAGAAATACTGGTAATAGTACTTTCTACAGTTGTCATAATCCAGACAATTTAAGTGCAAAAGCTGTAAAAGGAATTTTTCATAGTACAAGGAAAACAGAAAACTGCACTTGCTTCTCTCTAGTAAAGCAATTCCCCTAAAATAACTTTGTAATTTAGCAACTCTTCCACTGCCAAAGAACTCTGAATCAACTTTCTAGACAAAATCACAAACAATTTGGCCTCCATGAATGAAATGGCAGATTGGTTTAAAACCAGACTTCACGGTCTTTCTTCTAAATCTGAAGTTGTCATCATCACTTTTATGGAATGTTTGGCCAAAGCTTATAAGAATTTATCATACTCCTTACTGGGAGGAAACAATGGTAAAGAATTCACTCCATACTTAGAGAAACTTGTCAGCATATGAGGTCCACCCAGAAACTTACTTATTCTGATTTTTCCAGAATTGTAGTATCAGAGTCTCAGTTCTTAATTATCATAATCCTAAGAGATCCTTTAACCTCAAAGAGCCATAAAAAAGCTGTATTATATTTACAGTTCCAAAAAACGTTCCTTGTCGTTCCATTAATCTCATTGTGCTGACCTTCCCTTTCAAGGAGTGTGTATGAAGGAGACCACGGAAAGACAGCTTCTTAAACATCCTGACAGCTCAATTCTCTTTTGATCTTCGTTAGTCTTAAAAACCACGTGCAATCAAAAAAGTTTATACATTTACTATCAGCTTGGGGATAAAAACTCCTATATCCTACCTACGATCAAAACTTTGCTAACTTGCCTGCAGCGCTAGAAAGAGCACAGAGTTCCCCAGTATGTTAACACTTGATTTGATAATCCATTCCCACTTCTTGACAAAAATATTAATTCTACAGTGCCTTGTACTCTTTGTGGTTTAGTGCAGACAATACTTCACACTTCCTTACGTCATATACAGAACCAATGACGTTTTCAACGTGTTTATGTAACTCTGGCACTGTTTCTTAACAAATGGCTACAACAAGTAACATTGTCCCAGTATTTGGTTATTAAATGTGCCTGAAACTAAACTAGAGAAAAATTGAAATAGAATTCAAGAAAGTTATAGGGAGAAATTAAAAGACTGGAAACAGGTATCTCTGCCTTCTTTTTCTTTTCCCCTCCATTTACCTTACCTTTGCCACAGTTTAAAAATCCTATTGCACTTTTCCTAGTCTCAAAAAGCATTCCTCAGCAGTGCTGTCAATCCCTATCTTGATCTGATTTAAGAAAATATTTCTGAGTACATACTTTGTTGCCACAGCCTTTTCAACCTCAAGATTAAATAACTATAGTATTTACTGTTTCTCTGGACATTCTACAAATCACAGATGACGCAGAATGTAATCTTTGTAAACTGCATACCTCAGTTTGACAGTAATGCCCTATAACATGCAGTATCTGCTGATTTTTGACCTTTACTACTTTGAATGGCATACAGTTTGCTTTTTTGGACAGTTATCTTCTGTTTCCAATACAGAAATCCTGTTATAATACCAGTGTATTCAAAAATTGGAATTGAAGTTCTGTACCTGGCTAAGTGAAATATCCAAATAGCAGTCTCCACCTCGTGCTCCCCAAGAATTCATTTTATACAGGTCATACATTTCCTGTTGTTCTAATCCCTGTCCCACTTCAGTCTGTAGATCAAACTTAAGGAATAAACATATTGTTCAAATATGTTTAAGACACTGACCGTCACATTGTGCATTAACAATGCCTCATGTTTTTTCCTTTCAAGTAAGCATATGAATAGATCCGCAACATACTCTCGCTTTCTTTTTCCTTCTCACTTCAGCGTAGAAGAAAGCAATTACTGCGCTTACACTTGTGCTTCAGAGGCAGGCAGTGCTATGTTTGCAGCTGACAAGGTCTCTACCTAGGGAGCTGGTCTCAGACACTTCCTACTATTGGCCAACTCCATGAGAGTGATCCGCCTCGCAGCAAGGCTGGGTTGCAAACAGGCAGAACCAGATTCCCCACGTAGAAAGTAATCAATTTGCCTGTCTACTGCAGTTGCAGAAGTCAGCTTCTCTCTCGCACTGCTGCACTTGAAGATGAACCCTTGGACAATTATTTAAGGACTAGGAGCAGAAAGCGTGCTGAAAAGACTTACTGGAATGCCACTCAAGACACAGTACTTGGGAAAATACTCAAAACAGTATTTGTCTCATTATACTCAAGCTTAGCCTCCAGAGCTCCTTTCCAAAGGATAACGTGTGCCATCAGCACTGGATTGAAAGGTAAAGACTTCTATTTTACTTAACGTTTAAAAAGTTGCAAATATCAGAAAAAGGCTGCGTGGTCTGTGTCGAAAGTGTCAAGACACGCAAACAGTAAATGTCGACCCTGAAAATAATTGGATAGAACTCTGGGTTAACAATGTCTCAGAGCTCCACTGCTCATGCACGGGAATGCTAAGCTTTGAAGCCAAGTTTTATGCATAAAACCTCATTCTTTACTGAATACACTGGGGTTATCTTAAAGGACAGAGCTTGGTTTTAATTTTCCAAAGCAGCAGAACTTCATATGTAACAATCTTCGGTGTTTAAGAACTATAAGAAGTATTGATAAACACACTTGAAAGCACTGATGGCATATAACATTAAGTTTGCCAACTCCAAAGCTTTTATAAATAAAATCATGCTTTTCTTACTTCAATTTCACAAAGTATACTTGGAACCCTCTTAGTGTAACAAAAAGTGTTATTTATAAAAGAAACAGAGAAGAGGAAAGAACCAAATGCTTTTATGTCATGTAAGACTTTTTTTAAAAAACAACTAGAGAGCTTTGAACTTTATTTTTAGAGTCATGGGAAACAGTGTGGAAAGGGAGTGTATGTGTGCATTGGCACAACTGACATCTACACTTCAGTATTTCCCTCAGAAGCCAGAAGAAATACCAGCAAAAAAGTCTCTGAACATGAACTATGTGCACTCGTAGCTTGCTTCTAAAATGTAAATTACCCAGCAAGTAGTGAACAAATAAGCATTAAAACTTACTTCACAGTCCAAGAGATTTGGTGAAAAAATCTGGTATAAAAAGGATGTATTTGTATCTCAGTTTTCTTAAAACAAACAAACAAACAAAGAAGAAACGTTAGAGAAAAAACAGATGTTTCTTTCACAGAAGGTATTCTGTATGAGTGCCTAGATGTGTTTATTTTCTTGGTTTGCAGGCTTGGACTTTTTGTTTTAAATACATTTGCTTTACAACTTGTGCATTTGGTTCTGGATTACCATACAGTAAGAACACTGAAAACTAAACACTGTACAGGCAGGCTGTTAGAAGTAATATGTGAAAGTAGCTTATACATACTGCTTTTGGGTTTAGCCAGTTATCACAGACTCGAGAAGTTTGGTCAAATCTGCATGTTGGCCATTAAAAATATAACAGAGCACAATATACCTCCAGGGTACTTTGGTCAAAATACTGCAGTATCAAAATTGTCAATCTTGAGTAGAAGTAACTTCAGGAAAATGTATCTTTAAAAGAATGATTGATCTGAGATCAGGAATACTAGGCTTGAAGGTTACTTCAAGAAGCCATAGCTTTGAGAATGACTGAGCCACCATTCCTCAGAATTCAAAGGCAAGAGGGAGAAGCTTTCAACTGCACAGCAGTCTAAACAAGAATGAACAAAGCCATATTTTTCCACCCACAGTTGAGCTTTTAGAAATGATATTCCACATATTTTCTTCAGGATTTCATCTCATCCATTTTTTTTCCCCCTCGGACAGTCCTGTGGACAGCAATTACTAGCATGACAATAGAAAACTGAGGCCTGTGCAGTTATATGAAGAAAAGATTTATTAGTTTCTTTGTTTTCCTCATGTTACTGACCATGCAGCTCAAACTCTTGATCGACAGACAGAAAGATGTGAGTGTTTCAGATAGTTTTTGCCCTTCAATTATTTGCAGTTCATTAGCTTTTCAAGAAAAACAAACTTACTGCTAATTCAATAAGCACACATATAGGAGAACCAGCAAATAGTTTCAGCCTCCCACCGGGACTGAGAGGAACTCCCTGCTCTCCCTTCTTTGTGTAGACTTTTTGCAGATTGCATTTAACAGCTTTTAACTACACAAATAGTCCAAATGTGGCTCTTAGCAAATCTTAAGCTACATTCTTTGGCACTCCAAGGAGCTGCCTTAGCATTAGGAACTTTCTGGATTGTTGATAAGAGTTGGAAAATCATTGGTAACTTTTTACTGATTGACACTAGGGTCTTCCTCAAAAACACAGAATATTTAATTTCCCTAGTTTGCTTTTTATGCCTTCTAATGTTACATAAAACAACACTTTGAATATTAGGGTAAGATATAATGAAAAACTAGCGATGAGACGCTCCAAGACCATCTGCTTACAAACATCAATTAAGAAAGAGTTTGTGTACACGTAACTGCAGGGAGATCAATTTCTCTAATTCACCTTTTTCCTTAACTAGCTCCTCCAGGACACTTCTAACTATTATTTTATTTAAATGTAAGATTCTAAACTCATCCTGTTTGTAGTATCTTTAGGCAACTCTAGAGCAATCTCATTCTCATACTACCTTTTGAAGTGGTTAAAAGAATGTCAGTTATCATTTGTTTCACTTTAGGTAAGCAGCCACATTCCTACCTCATATCTGAATCCTATTCTCATTTACCAAAAGTGTATTTCTCCAACACACTTCTTCACTACCTGTTTATTCCAACCTACTACTCAAATGGGCTTTACACAGAGATCTGAGATTATAATCAGAACACCGTATTTAACTTCCAGGTGTTAAACTGCAAAAGCAATAAGTTATGCTGCTATGTTTTTGTGTAAGAATTAAAAAAAAATCCCTGAAAATATGTATTATTTTCATATACTTTTCATGTATTTCACCTTAATAATAGATACCAAGACAAATAATGAAGTTTCTTTATGGAAACTGCCTGTAAGATACATTGTGGTTTTTGCCTTCCCTAGAAATCCTTACATTTATTACAGATGAGTTGCAAGGCTGCAGTACTTAGCCATATGACATGATAGATGAAATGAGAATGAAAACTAAGTGGGACTATGAATTTTGCTCCTGCAACTCTACTATCAGGATAAAAGAGAATCTGGAAATAGATTTATACTAACAGAGTTCTAGAGAAAACTAGAGTTAAAAATATATGCTCTATTAAATGGAAATGATTTCAGTTGTCCTTCATCCTGCTTCAGCCTTGTCTTCTGTTAATTTACTTTCAAATTCTACCTTACGATATATAGATATCTAAAGCCTCATTATGTAACTTTTGGTAGAGGAATTTATAGTCTTCTTTCTGGATTTCTATGACTTGTAGGTGACCACCATGTTCATACCAGCTAAACAAGTGAAAGTGCTGATTACTAGCATTATTCTTGTCTGAAAGAAAAACAAAACCAGGAATCTAAGTGATTTTGTTGTTGTTGTTTTTCAAGTTTCCTAAAGAGCACTACTTTCAGTAATTCTTTAGTACAGGAAACATCATAAACACATTAAATAAGTTCTTCAGTTTTAAATACGAGATATTCCAGTCCTTTACCAACTAGAGGGTATCACACTCAGTGATGTATGCTGCACCTGCAAGTGTGACTTATGCCAGTGCAAAGGCATGACCGTAACACCTTCCAATACCCACAGTTTCAGTGGACAGCCTGAGAATCACTGTCTGTACACGTGGAAATAATGACAGATCGCTATCCTCAAATCTTCTACTGGCAATTCAGAATAGGTTACAGAACTCCAAAGTACAAACCCAGCTTTGCCACTGATTCATTATGCATCACTGAATCACATATTTCATAAAAATAGTAACATCATCACATCTCTGTAACTGATACGGAAGAACACTGGCAGCTGTAGAGACTTTGAAAGTACAAAATCTTCTAAAACAGATGATTCAAAACTTACCATATTCTCCCATACCTACTGATGCCAAAGTTCATACTTCTATTATTTGCCTATCATCTTCTCTGTTAGTATGCTTTTCCCATATGCAACACCACAGAACTGCCCTAAAAGCAGTGTATCTCCAGCATCTTGAGTGTGTTACAGATTTCTGGCCAAGAACATCTAAATTAATTAAAATAACTAAAAATCTATTTTCTGCCCTTACCTCTCCCTTGAAGTGCTCACTCCAGCAGCACAGCTTAATGACACTCTTCCAGCAATCTCTGAATCATTTTCACCCATGAAATTTTGTTGTGCAAATCCCCTTAATACTCAGGCCTGTTTTGTTATATTTGAATCAAACATTTTTATTTAGTATCTGTGTTTCTCCCTTTCACATCAACTAGAGAACTCCCAAGCTACATAGCTTCAAATGTACCATTTCTATTCTCCTTCATATGGGTCGTTTTGGGTTTGCCCAGTTGTCTTCTGGCAGTGCTAGTATGGGATATTTTCTCAAGAAACAAGATTCTATTTCCTCAACATCACATCACATAGTGGGCTGTGATGATACAACATGTTACTAATTATACAAACAGCCTTCACATGTTAGCAGTTCTTAAAAATATTGATAGGGATCTCATTCAAGTCCCCTGCATTGAAAATGCAATTGATTTTGCACTGTCATATGATATACTTTGATAGTACTTACCTACCTTGCAAATACAAATGGCATGCATTTTTAGGCTTATACCCAAGGCAAACTCTCCGCCTTTACTGTTTTCTTGTTGAATAACAACCATGCTGCCCACAAACAGAAGCTTGAACTTACAACTAGTCTTAAGTATGCTTTTCCAAGGAATTATCATCTTAAAACATGATGATTTAAGAGGACACTTTCATCCTTGCTTTAAGCATGTGTTTTTACAAGACAATTAAGCTAAAAGAAACTTTTTTATTTTGAAAAAAGGAGAAAATAAATTTAATCTGCAACAAATTTCCTTACTTCAGTTGCTTAAAACGTATCTTGGAGTAATAACACAAGATTCTAGAGCACAAAACATATTATTTCTTTTCCTGAGAGAATAAATGAAAGCACAACTTTTTCAGAAAGCTTAAATTTCGATTCAAAACCTCAGTCTTTCCCAGAAACTATTAAGAGTTAATATTAAGTTTAAATGACAGAAATACTTCAGTAATTTTTTTATTGAATTGCTAAGACACTCAAAACAGCAATCAGGTTCCAGACCAGAGTATGACTCTGAACATGACTCAAAGCCAATGCTGTCAAAAAGAACAGTTACACAGGTTTGGTTTTTTTGCACAATATAACAGAGATGCAACTTCACTGC